GCAGAACTGCTTTCCTTGTGTCCCATCAATTTCTGTGTGTTGTATTGGCATTGTCATTTAATTGTAGAAACTGTCTAATTTGTTTTTTAATTTCCTCTGTGACCCAGTAGTTGTTCAGCAGTGTATTATTTAATTTCCATGTGTTTGTGAAGTTCTTGCGGTTTCTTTGGCTGTTGATCTCCAGTTTACTTGTGCTATGGTCTGATAATATACAGGGGATAACTTCAATTCCTTTGCATTTATTTAAGCATGTTCTTTGAGCTAGCATGTGATCTGTTTTGGAGCGTGACTCGTGTGCAGCCAAAAAGAATGTATATTCTGATTTTGTGGGGTGGAACACTCTGTACACAGTCTACTAAGTCTGTTTGTTCTAAGACTTGGTTCAGTTCTGTTATTTGTCTAGATGATCTGTCTGTTTGTGTCAGTGGAATATTGTGGTCCCCCACTACAATTGTATTAGTGCTTATATCGTTTTTCATATCCATTAATATTTTTTTTGTATAGTTGGGGGCATAAGTATTTGGTGCATATATATTTATGTATATATTTATGATTGTCATTTCTTCCTCTTGTATTGTTCTCTTTACAAGGCTTTCTTTGTCTCTCAGTTAGTTTTGGTTTGAAATCTATTCTGTCTGCAAATAAGATAGTTACCCCAGCTTTTTTCTGGATTCCTGTCTCATGGAGAACAGTTTTCCATCCTTTTACTCTCAGTCTATGAATTTGTGGATTAAGTGGGTTTCTTGTGTACAGCATACTGTTCGATTTTACTTCTTAACTGATTCTGCCAGCCTGTTTCTTTTGATTAGTGAATTGAGGACATTACCGTTGTTGGTTATAACTGTTATGTATTGGCTTTTCATTGTCATGTATTTTCCTGTTGTTGGTTCTTTTACTTTTTTATTTTTCCCTCTCTCCCTTTAATTTCTTACCTTTCCTGGTATAGTTCCTGCTCTGTTGGCCCTTATGGAGTTGTGGTCTTCACTTTCTTTTTCCAGGATATTGTTTAGAAGTGCTTGGAGTGCCAGTTTGGTGTTCATAAAATTTCTCATGTGTTCTTTGTTGTGGAAGTATCTTATTTTCCCATCAATTTTGAAAGATAGTTTTGCAGGCTAGGTTGGAGGTTGTTTTCTTTTAGGACTTGAAATACCTCACTCCAAGCTCTCCTTGAGTTGAGGGTTTGCTCAACTCAATTTGAAAAATTTGCTGTGATTCTAATGGGCTTTCCTTTGCATGTGATTTGTTCCTTTTCTCTAACTGCTTGCAGTATTTTGTTCTTCTGTTGGATTTCCACAGTCTTGACTATTATGTCTAGGTGTAGATTTTTTTTTTTTTTTTAATCATGGCTAGTTGGAGTCCTGTATGCCTCACTTATCTGTTTGTCAAATTCTTCCCCTCTGTTTGGGAAGTTTTATGTCATCAATTCTTTGAACAGATTTTTTTGTGTCATTTATACTTTCTCCTGCTACTTCATGGATTCCTGTCAGTCTTATATTATTCTTTGCATCATCTAATAGTTGTTGGACTGATTTCTCATGGTCCCTTACTGTGTTTAAGAGATCTCTCTTTTCATGGCCACTGACTGCAATCCTATCTGAAATCTGAAATTCTATCCTCAAATTCATTCATCCTGCTGGGAATGCTTTCTACAGTATGTATGTATGTATGTATGTATGTATGTATGTATGTATGTATTTATTTATTTATATATATATGTAAGGGATTGAACTCGGGTCCTTGCGCTAGCAAGGCAGGCCACCAAACCGCTGAACTAAATCCCCGGCCCATCTATAGCTTTTTTAATCCCCTTGGTATCTGTTTGAATCTGTTTCGTGGATTCCATTTCTCTAGTATGTTGGGCATTCAGGGCCTTCATTTCTTTCCTATGATGGGCATTCATGGTTTCCATCATGGTCCTGAGCTCTTTTTTTTTTTTTTTTTTTTTTTTTTTTTTTTT